CCCCCAAGACGTTTGAAAAAGCTACTACGAGGCGTTCCACCAAGGCCTCCAGAAGCAAAAACCGGCCCAGTCCCGAGGGAAAACATACACTTTCAGCACATTCGCCTCTTGGGCTTCCACGGGGCCTACAACAGCCCAAGAAGCATCCAACATCGACCCCCTACAGCCCCAGAGGCTTGAAAGAGGGTTCCAAGACGGCCTCCGGGCGCCCCGCGAAGGCCCCGGAAACCATAGCAACGGCCCTGGAGAGCCGCAGGACGGTCCCAAGAGGGCCCCAAGACGGGCCAAGAGGGTTCTTAAAAGGCCTTCTCGTCGGCCCAAGTCATTCAACAGTGCCCCAAGTCGTCCAACATTGCCTCCCGACAGCTCTACAGGCCCCCAAGACGTCTCAAGACGCTATCCAGAGGCGTCCCAAGAAGCCTTCCAGAAGCAACAACCGTCCCATTCTCGATGGTAAATACATATTTCCAACACGTTCGCCTCTTGGCCTTTCACGCGGTCCCTGAGACCCCTTGCTCGCCACAACACGCCACCAGGACGCGGCCCAAGAGGCCCTCCACAAGCAAACATCGGCCCGTTCCCCTAAAGGGAAACGTCCAAGTTTTGCACATTCGCTTCTTGGCCTCTCACTAGGCCCACAGGAACCCAAGAAGCCCCCAAATCAGTTCAAGGAAACACCATATGCCTCCAAGAGGACTCCCAGACGGCCCACAAGATCCCCAAGAGGGCTCCCGCAGCCACCGAGGAGGGCCCCAGCACGGCCCCAAGGGGCTCCCCCGACGGTCCCATAGGGCTACGACTCGCGAAGAGACCGCCCCAAGACGTCCGCGACAGTGCCTCCGGACGGCCCCAGGAGCCCCCTGCACGCCCCGACACGCCGCCAGGACGCGTCCGAAGAGGCTCCCAGAAGCAAACCTCGGCCCGTTCCCTGAGGGAAACGCCCAAGTCTAGCACTTTCGCTTCTTGGCCTGTCGCGCGGCTCACAGCAGACCCGTGAGGCCCCCTGGACGCCCCAACGCGCCACCAGAACGCGCCCCAAGAGGCCCGGCAGAACCAAACCTCGGCCCCTTACCGAAGGGAAGCGTCTAAGTTGAACAGATTCAATTCTTGAGCTCTCACGAGTCCCACAGCAGCCCAAAAAGCCACCAAAGTCAACCAAAAAAGCCCCCGCACGCCCCCAAGAAAGCTCCCGGACGGCACAAGCGGGCCCCAACAGGGCCCCCGAAGCCACCAGGGAGAGCCCCAGGACGGCCCCAAGAGGAGAGTAAGGAGGGAAACCCGCATGGAGAATTCGAGCACTTCGCCCCGAGAAAATATGAAAGGGCGCCTGAATGCACCTCAAAGGCCCTGACAGGGATCCACAATGCCCCCGAACGACCCCGGGACCCGGAGGCGGCCCTTCGACGACGAAAACCACGAAAAGACTAAAACTCTGCAACAAAATTCCTCTCTTTTCCACACTCAGAAACCGTTCACCACGGGCCCCCCGGACCCTTCCCGGAATCCAATCGCAATGGTTTCCCCAAACGCACCCAGACGCGGCGACAGGGGAGGGGCCTGGAACCCCCCCAACCACAACAAACCTCCCGAGTCCGACGGGCTACTCCGCACAAATTCGTTCCCCGAACCTCTCCCCGGGTCCGCCGATGCAATTTCTCGCCCATGCCCGTCCGGTTTTGAAAATCCTGGGGCCCAGCAACGGCCCCCAGAGACCGAAACCAAGCAGCAAAAAAAAAAAACATAAAAGTCTCTGAAAAGGCGGCCGGAACTGACGCGGGCCACTACCTCGATCGCGAAGAAGAAGAGAAGGACGAGGAGGAGGAGGAGGAGGAGGAGGAGGAAGAGGAACAAGAATCCGCCGGCCCCCGCCGGAGGTTCGCAGCTTCCTGTAGCAGTTCCAGCTTCCAGTTTCCACTGTTACAGTTCTGCTTATTGCTGCTAACTGTTCCTTGTTACAGCTCTGCTTTTTGCTGCGTACTGTTCCTCGTTGATGGACCGCGCGAGGGGGGGAGGCCCAAAACGGGCATGTTTACCACGGCCAAAACGTATTGTCTGCATTGCTGGGGTGGGTAAAACTTGTCACCCCTCACGCAGATCGGCGGGGTCAGGGTCCAAAAACACAAGAGATTTGCAACAGTTCTGCAATTCGGTGGCACCCCTCACGCAGATCGGCGGGGTCAGGGTCCAAAAACACATGGGATTTGCCACATGGCACCCCTCACGCAGATCGGCGGGGTCGGGGTCCAAAAACAGATGGGATTTGCCACATGTCGAAAATTCGGTGGCACCCTTCACGCAGATCGGCGGGGTCAGGGTCAAAAAACATAAGAGATGTGCTACATGTCTAAAATTCGGTGGCACCCCTCACGCAGATCGGCGGGGTCAGGGTGCAAAAACACATGGGATTTGCCACATGTCTGGAATCCGGTGGCACCCCTCACACAGATCGGCGGGGTCAGGGTGCAAAAACACAAAGGATTTGCAACATTTCTGCAATTCGGTGGCACCCCTCACGCAGATCTGAACTTTGCTCGCACCCCTCACGCAGATCGGCGGGGTCAGGGTGCAAAAAACATAATGGATGTTCCATACTTCTGCACTTCGGTGGCACCCCTCACGCAGATCGGCAGATCGGCAGGGCCACGACGTCTTGCCAGTCGCCAGGTGTGGTAACCCCTCTGGTCATTCACTGCTCATTACGAGCTGGTCTCGCATGAAATTCCGATATTGATTCACGACAGCGCCCAGGTCTCATGACATAGCTCTTGCATAGCGCATTCTCCGAGAGAGGGGGCCAGCGGCAGGGGGCGAAGCCCTGACGGACAACGGTTTCGTCGTCGGCGCCGGTGTCTCGCAGATGTTCGTGGTCTTTCGACCACCCGAAGCATCTCCTCGAATTCAGCCTCCGGGAACCGTGTTCGGTGCCCAGGACCTCCACTGAGGGTCTGGGGTGAGGATCGACCTCCCTGGCCAGTGCCACCCCTTCGCACAAGAAGGAACACGGGGTGGATCGAGGCTCGAGACATGAGACTCCTAGTTCTTGGGCGCTCTCCGCCCCCTCTGGGCCTTCAGGAAGCTCCGCGTCGACACAGATGGGTCCACTCTCGAACTTCTGGCCGGACGCACCACCAGCTGGGTCTCAACGATCCCCGAGCCTATCCAGGGGGTGGAAAAGGAGGCCTGGGACAAGCCCCGTGAAGGCCCCAAGAAACCCACATCAGACCACGAAAAACTTCAAAACAATCCCCTACAAGGCCCCCCCTTGAACCCCACACGCCACGTACGACAGGCCGAAACCCCAAGATTGCCAAGCGATCGCGCGCGTTCCGCGAACTCCGTCTTGCACCCTTGCTGCCGCCAGAAGGGGTGGGCGGTGCGGCTAGGGGGCCACATGCGAACCCTACCCCTACCCCGCACGATTTCTGAGGGGAGGGTGGGGTTCACTTCGTTCGGGAGCTCCCAAACGAAGTGAATCCCACCCTCCCCCTCAAAAATCGTGGGGGGTAGGGGTAGGGTTCGCATGTGGCCTCCTAGCGGCGAAAGCCAATGACTCTTCGGACACTCTCTTGAGTGCCACGTGGGGGAGGCTCGGAGCCCGAGGGGCGCCGCACGCGGCGTGCAGCTTGGCCCAGGATGGCCTCCACAAGCGCATCCAAGGAGCAAAGACGGTGGCACACACACACACACACACACACACACTCACACACACACACACACACACACACACACACACACACACACGCACGCACGCACGCACGCACGCACGCACGCACGCACGCACACATACGCACACACACACACACACACACACACACACACACACACACACACACACACACACACATCCAGTTCAGCGTGTTCCCCGTCCCCATGTATTATCTCAAGAGGGCTCAAGATCCAGTTCAGCGTGTTCCCCGTGCCCATGCATTATCGCAAGAGGGCTCAAGATGGCCCCAGCATGGCCTCGGGAGGGCCCAGGATGAACCGAAGACTGACCCAGATGGCCTTGTGAAAGTAGCCCCCAGAGACCCGAGGTGCCCCCTGCATTGAAATAGATTGCCGAAGGAGGTCCGAATGTGCGCGCCAAGAGATCCCCAGATGGCCCCCAGAGGCTCCAAGTTGGCCCTAAGGCCGCCCAGCATAGCCCAAGACCGGGCCAATATCCCCAGGAGGCGACGGCGTGGCCCCAAGATGGCCCAGGATACCCTAGGATTACACCAAGTGGGTCAAGGGCCTATAGAAGACCCAATATAGACCTTTAAAGGCCCACATGTCTGTACGACCCGACGACTGGCAAGCCACCAAGTCTCTAGTTGGACACCAGGTGCAGAGGATGAGGCCCTGCATTCGTTGACACCCAGTACAGATCAGCGCAAATCGGTGACATTGAGCTCGAAAAGAAATGCGAACAGTGAGGGATGATAAGGACAAGAAATGATTGCGAGGAAGTAAGTGAAGGATGGTGACGAGGAGGAGTGGATTCTTACAGAGTAACATGCGAACATCAGAGTTACAACTAACTCAGAGAAGCAGCCGCGGAAGAAGGGAGCAAATCCCTTATAGCGTGCAGCTGAAGAAGCGGAAGCCAGATGGCGCAGATGGGAAGGGAGAGCGCGCCCAATGCTCCCAACACACCGCGCCTACTCTGCGCAACCGCGTTCCTATCAGGTGCTCGCGTGAGCGAGATTGTAAGAGAAGTGCTCCAAGTATTATGCTGCTTGTCCTGATTGATTTGTTCATATGGGCACTATGCTCATGCGAACGGCACGCGCGGTTCCCACCTCCCTGATCCCTCCCTCCCTGTGCAACTCCCTCCACAAGCCACACCATCAACACTAGCACATTCGCTAGTGGCACGAAGACGCTACGAACATGCGCCCAGGCCCAGCTCAGCTCTCGGAGATGGGCCCACATTTGTCCTGAAGACGCACACCGTGGAGGGGACTACCCCTGCTAGTCACGCGGAGGTGCAGCTGGCCCCGCACACGCCACGCACGGCGTCACTGGTATGTGCTCCCGCCACCCTTGGCTGCACTGCCCCTCAGGTTCGACCAGTCTCGGGCGCCCCAGTCGCTGGCGTCTGCGACCTTGCCCTTGCCGCCGCCCTTCTTCCCGCCGCCCTTGTCCGCCTTGCCCCTGTACCCGCCGCCCTCCCGCCAGTCCTCCGCCGGGCGGCCGCCCGACCTCCACCCCTCGGACGGCCTGCCCTCGGCCCCCTCGGCCCTCCAGCCCTGTGGCCTGTGCGTGGCCATCTTGTGCGTGCCTCCGGGAGGGAGCACCAGCTGCTGCGGCAGGAGACTCGTCAGCCGGCTCTGGCGGCGCGTGGCCGTGCGCAGGACTCCCGTCACCGCCTCGTCTAGCATCCACTGCGACGCCTCCGGGAGCGGGGCCTTCGGGTCGAGCACCTTGAGGTGGATGCACCGGCGCATCTCGCTGCGGAGCAGGGAGAGGAGCCGGATACTCTCCTCCTGCCCCTGCAGCTCGATCCAGTCGTCGATCACAGCAACAGGGCCACCCCCGTCGAGCCCCTCCACTGCGAAGCCGTCGTCGCCGTCGTCTTCCGCAGCCTGCTTGCCCTTGCCCTTGGCGCCCTTGCCGTGGCCAGGGCGCTGTTGTCGCTCCACCGACAGGCCGCCGAAGAGCATGATGTGGTACGGGTCGACCAGCGTGGTGGTGCGCAGGAAGCCCTGCTTGTTGGAGATCTGCATGGAGCCGTACGCCCACCAGGATGGGCCGCCGCGCCTGTCCATGTCCTTCCCGCCACCGCCCTTGCCCACGCGGGCCTGCAGGAGAGCCCGGAATCGAATCGACAAGTCGGATCGGCGATCGAAAGCAATCGGATCGGCGGAGATCGGCAGCCGAGTCGGGAGGAGTCGAATCGGCGGAAATCGGCAGGCTAGTATGCCTCCAAGAAAGGATCGGAGCCCAAATCAGACTCCAAAGTCGAATCGAATCGGCATCGGAGTCCATCGAAGTCGAATCGAATCCACTCGGAGGAATCGAAACGAGCCCTGGGCCTGTGCGTTGACGCTCTGCGGCGCCACGATGGCCTCCAGGCCCGTGGGCGTGCGGTGCTTTGCCAGGAACGGGCGCCTGCGCAAGGCCACGTTGACCGGGGAGGCGGCCACGAGCAGCGCCTTGCGCATCTCGGGCTCGTCGTCGTGCGCGTGGAGGGCCATCCACTCGGGGTTGTTCCAATTCTCCATGGAATTGCGACCCCAATAACCGCCCCGGTTGTAGCCGCCGTGGTCGCCTCCCTCGTGCTCGTCCCAGGCGCCCCAACCGCCCACATCCGCGTCGTCGCCGTCACCGTTGTCCTCGGCTTGGGCGTGTCTGAAAGGCACTCTCCTTTCCGTTTCCGACGTGGGCTCTTCTGAACAAGCTCGAGTAGGTGAAAGTATGTGCATGCTGGTGTGCATGATGTGTGAGATTGCAGGCCGCGTCGGTCGCCCCCTGTGTGACCACCTGTTGTTTGACTAAGTGGTGTGTATGTGCGTTCTGTTGTCCCTCCGCCTCCTGCTCGATTATTCGCCCCCCTCCACCTCATCCTCCTCACTGCACTCCTCCTGCAGTAGACGTAAGGGGTACCCTGGGGAAGAAACCAGCAAAACAAAAAAACCTGCAGTATCCGAGTAGCAAGGTAACTTAGGGATGAGCAGACAGACCGATTACCTAGCGGCTCATTTGGGCTGTCACAATGGACGCTGTGACAATTATGGTCCAGAGCCTTTGGGTGAAATCTGTATATATATATATATATATAATAAAAAACACTACGACCTCACCACAACAACAAACACAGAAAATCAGCAGTAGCAGCAGCAATAGTAATAGTAGAACTAGCGACAACAGTCGCAGTAGCATTGGCAATAGCAGTAACAGTAGCAGCAGCAGCAGCAGCAGCAGCAGCAGCAGCAGCAGCAGTATCAGGAGCAGCAACAACAGCAATAATAGCAAGTGCAACAGCGGCAGCGGCAACAGTAGTGAAGTGAGATGTAACAGTCGGTAGAGAGCTGCTACGCTGACACCTGTATACGTGGCAAAGACATGAGCTTCTAAAGAAACAGAATCCAACGTGGTTATCTGTTTCAGGATTCCGCGTTTATCTCTGATAAGGCTACACCTTCAATTAGGCACGTCGACTTGAAAACTATTCAGCTCTTGCTCTCAGTAAGCGGCCAATAAACCGCTCGCGATTTCAAGACCAACCAAATCCTTGGGGAACAAGTGCGGCCGCATGTGCGCGGCAGTGCGGTCGATCAAACGAGCTCTGACGAGCTCTTCCTTCAGCGAGTCACGCGACCGCAGCAGAGTACGGACGCGCTGCGGGACGAGGAACCGCTCCGCCGCGAAGCGGTCGGCGGTGTCTGGTGCCTCGCCTGGCTGCAGGTTGAGGCCCCGCGTGCGCTGCATCTCCACCTTCTCCTCGAAGACCTCTGGGGAGACCAAGAGACACCGATACCGCTACTCCCCGGACCTCTCCTGGGGTGCGCTCTGACCAGGATTCCGAGGCGAATCCGACGGTGGCGACGACGGAGGCCCAGGAGGCCCACAAAGGGGACAACGAGGGGAGGGCAGAGGTATGGAGTACCTTTTCCTCCTCCGAACCTCGGCGGCGGCGTAGCAGGCCAGGAGGTCGCTGGTGCTGTCGAAGCCGCGCTGGTAGCCCAGGCTCTCCTTCCGCTTCCCCGGCGGGCTCACGAACGGCCGGCGGGCTGCCGCGATCACCGCCGCCAGCAGGCACGCGGTGTCCACGCACTGGAAGAGCACCCCCATGATGAGCATCCTGTGATGGGCCTGTTTTCCACCACCGCCACCATGAGTTGGAGGGGGAGGGGTCCTCCTCCTCCTCCTCCTCCTCCTCTCCTCCTCCTCCTCTCCTCCTCTTCCTCCTCCTCCTCCTCCCCCCTCCTCCTCCTCCTCCTCCTCCTCCTCCTCCTCCTCCGCCTCCTCCTCTTCCTCGTCCCCCTCCTCCTTCCCCCCTCCAGCTTGTGGTGGTGGAAAACCCCCATCATCCTGCCCAGGAAGGGCGAGAGCGGCATGCGCGAGAGCGTCTCGCCGAGCGGCAGCATGCGCTCCCGCAGGACGCCCTGGGGCACCCGGGGCGGGGGTGCGACGGCACCCAGCTGCACCAGCTCCTTCAGGGCCGACTCCACGGAGGGCCGCGCCGGCGGGTCGGGGGCGCGGGATAGGAAGTCCCGCACCTCGCGGTTCATCGCCAGCGCCTGCAGGCAGGTGGCCGAGAGCTCGCAGCGCTGCATCTCGGGCGCCGTGCGCCACGCGGTGCCATCGAACTGGGCGCGCGAGAAGAGGCGGTAGCACCTGCCGTTGCGCACGCGCCCGGCACGGCCTCGGAGGAGTGTAAGAGGAGAGCTGTATGAGCATCAACTTTGTGAGTTCTTGGATCGGCGCTGGGCCCCACTCCCTGGCGCAGAGAGCGAGGCAGAGGTGGCGCTGGAGGCGCCACTAAGGAGGGCCCTGCGCCGATGCAAGAAATCCGCGCGGAGCTCCGAAGGTTAATGCTGATTGATTTTGTCTTCCTCGATCCTTTGCGCTGGATAGAGGACGACTGCGAGACCCATACGGTCTCGAGCGTGGAGATGCGGCGAACTGGGTCGTAGGACAGCTCGCGCATGAGGCCCGCGTCCACCACGATGAGCACGTCGTCGATAGTGACGCTGCTCTCAGCGATGTTCGTGCCGATGATGATTTTTGTCTTGCCCGGCGGAGGGTGCTGAAAAATCTTCTGCTGGTCCTCCTTCGGGAGCGTTGAGTGCAGCGGCAGCACCCACAGGCGATCGATGTGGGGCGACTGTTGCAGCTTCTCCATCACGAGCTTGATCTCTGCCCAGCCTGGCATGAACACCAGGATCGAGCCAGGCTTGCCCTTCTCGTCAAAGATGCCCCCCGCCTCGGACTCCCCGCGGAAGACGATGTGCAGCAGGAGCCGGGCGCAAAGATCCATGAGCGCGTCGCCGTCCTCGAAGCTGCCCCACCAGAGCCCCGTGGTGGCGCCCTGGAACCCGCCATCTTCGCCGCCGCCCTCGGCGACATCTGGGTCCGCGTCTGGGTCGCCGTCAGCGGCCTCGGCGACGCCTGCCAGAGCCTTCTCGCCCTCGCGCTCCGCCGCCGCCTCCGGGGAGACCCAAAGAGGCGCCGGTACGGCAGGTTCACGTCGTGCCGACTTCGGCGTTGGTTTCTGACACCGCGGGGATCGTTCAGTCTTGAGCGATCGGCCGTTTCCGAAACGTCCAAATCTTTCCACATCGAACGATTCTGGGTCGCCCGCGACATTCAACGTTGAACGCCGCTGGCGGGGTCGCCGCCGGTCGACACGACACGAACCTACCGTACTGCTACTCCCCAGACCTCTTCTGGGGTGCGTTCTGAACACAATGCCGAGGCCCGGGGGGGGGGGGGGCGGCCCGTCCACCCACCTCCCCACCATATGGGGGGGGTGCGAAGTCCCTGTGGACGGGGCGGGGTGGGCACTGAGGGGCACCATAGGCCCTTCCAGAGCCAAAGGTGGGCACCATGCGCCCACCACCACCAACGGAGGCACTCCAGATTTCGTAAGGAAGGGAGGGGGGTCTCATTTCGGGGGGGGTCTCTTCCAGGCTATCTTGGAGGGTCTGGGGGGGTCTGGGGACGATGTTTTGGAGGGTTCTCCCACGGGGGGGGGTCTGAAATGGCTTGTCTTGGAGGGTCCAGACCCCCTCCCTCTTATTACGAAATCTGGAGTACACCATATGTCCTCCACCCTTCATTCCATTCAAAATCCAGTGAACTTTTCAACTTGATGCTTCAACCTCTCTCCAGCGGTCGCGACGAGGGCCTCTCAGGAGGGCCAAGGAGGCGAAAGCGAGGCAAGGGCAGCGGTATGGGTGCCTTTTCCTCCCTCCGAGCCTCGGCCCGCTCGGCCGCGAAGGCGTTGCGGCACGTCTCCTCCTTCCGGAGGAGCAGCTGCGCCAGGTTGGCGATGTCGTGGCTCACGTGCTCC